TAACAAAAACTGATGTGATGTATATGCTCTGTACGTGTCACTACATTTAGAGATTTTGACATTAAGCAGCCCAAAAATTATCACATATTTCAATGACATCCCATTAAAGCGCAACAAATTAGGTGAGTGCTTCCTATGTACTAGATGACTGAAAAGGCTTTCCTAAGTCATAATGACAATATAAGTGTGTTACAAAAATGTGACTGTCATGCTAAAATTTGATGACTTTTGATCTCAATTTTTTCTGTGTAAAACTATTTAGCTGTTGGCTGTTAACATTTTATGGGGATCCAACTACTCAAGCACCCATAGTTGGTAAGAAATAATAGTTCTCTGGTTATACTTTATAATGTAAGGTGCTTACATTCAGATAAAATTACCATAGTTAAGCTCACTGTTCCCACTACAAAGTAATGTCACTAATCTTCTCTTCTGGATATTCAACAATTAAAATTTAGAGAGCAAAAACTAAAAAGACAGATGAGCTAAAAGGATAGTTAATATACTGACCCAGGCCCTCCAAGGTCAGTAAGGACACAGGACATAAAAGAACCTCTGCTGTGACATCCAACAGCTCAGTGAGTCCTCGATCTTCCGACCAAAGAGACTGGTGGGCCACAGAGAAAAGGAATCGATGGCATGCATTACGACTAAGGACAGTCACTAGGAGAGAAAAGCCTCCCAAGCTTTCACAGAAAGAAACTTGGCCAAGCAATGGCCAGGACTCATCCAGATGGATGACACTGTCTGAAGAACAGAGAGGCACTGTATTTGGTTCGAAAGTAATTCCTGAGGAGACTTAACTGACCTGGATAGACAGCAAGAGATTTTTTTTTTTAATTTTTAAAATCTTTTTATTTGTTTGGTACAGGGTCTCACTAAGCAGCTTGGACTCCTAGTGATGCTCCTGTCTCGGCCTCCTGGGCACTGTGGTTACAGGCATGTGCCCCCATGCCTGTTTTCAGTGGCTGGCATGGAGTGCCCAGAGTTTCTGGGCCAGCCCAGCATGTGGTACCAGGAACCAAACCTGGGTCTTTGCACTTGCCAGGCAGGCACGTAGACTGCTGAGCTATCTCCCCAGCTCCAAGAGATTAATTTTAATTAATAGGGATCTCACTTAAACTTGGTCTAAAATATCCAACAGAAAAGCATAACCACAAGATGGATATGCCACAATAGTAAGCTAACTGTAAAAATAAATTCAAATCACTGACATCTTTTGACAATTTCCAGCTGTACTGGTGGCTTACTATTATGGGTTAACATGCTGCACAGGGTGAAACTGCTGAACACAGGGACCTAAAACCTTTGGACTGGAGATTTTTAGTCTAAATGAGTAAGTCTTCTCAGTGCGGCAAGGGCTTGTGACAAAAGGAACTTCACCGTGGATGCCTGGAAAAAACAGGAAAAGAGAAGGCTCCCATAACGAAGTTCTACGGAGTCCCCTGAATACAGTTCCTCCAACTCCAACTGACCTCCCATTACTTGGAACTAAGAAACAGAAAAGGGTAACGTACGGTAACACATACATTACAGATTTTCAAAACAAGAATAACTGATTAAGTAATTAATATATTATCTATTTTTATCATCAAATATGTTGCTCAGATTAACACAGTTATGCAAGATGGGAGATATAATTGAACATTACCACATGCTTTCAAGAAATCTTAAATTTTTGTTCTCATTTTCTTTTATTACCTAGTAAAAAAACTTGCTTTAAAGAGAGTATAGCAATTGATATGACATTAGAAATGGTACACATTTAGAAGACCAAAATGAAAGGTATCTCAAGCATGGTTTTAGTATTACACATTGCTGTCCTCAGTGTAGTTGCTTAGCTCACAGATATCAGCACAGAGTCAGTTATTTCTTCCCATTAACTGCTATTTTCCAAAAGCTGATGGAAGTTCTCCTTAGGACAACTGCCTTATCCATCTTGTATCTCTACATATGCATGGTTTTGCCCCTATTACCTAACTTTTCTCCTTTCTCTCTCTTGTTGTTTAATCCTTAGGCTTTGTTTCTTTCCACTGAACTGTGTCTGTTATGCCTTTCAGTACCC